AGGCCCCCCCCCCAGCGGGCCCCAAGAGGCCAAAATCGTGCATTTTACAAAGGTTTTGGATACATTTTGCTTTTCCCGCCTTTTCAGCTTTCCGACGCTCCACGACGGCACAGGCCCCCCGCGGACGCCCCAAGACAGCCCAAGAGGCCTCCAAGAGGGCCTCAAGACGGCTCTGGAGGGCCCCAAGACGGCCCAAAACGCGCCCAAGACGGGCGAAGAGAGGCCCAAAACGGCACCAAGAGGGCTCCAAGAGGGGAACCGCGAACCGGAAATTTGAGCCTCCCGCCTCCACAGGGCCCCGGGAGGCCCCAAAGGGGCCACAAGAGGCCCCAGGAGACCCCCAGAGGCACCCAGGAGGCCCGAACGAGGCTTCACGAGGCTCCCAAACAGCCCCGAGGAACCTTACAACGGACGGTGCGGACGAGCCGATTTTCGGACCGCCGCCGCCGCCGGTCCAAGAAAACGGCCTCCTGGACGCCATGCGCGCCGTGGCCCTCCTGCGGTGGCACATCCCGCCCCGGGCCAGCGCAGAGGCCCTCGGATCCCAGAGAGAATTCTCCGTCGTCGGCGGTGTCGCCGTCGTCGGCGTCGTCGTCGTCGACGCCGTCCCCGCCCCGGTCGCCCCTCGGGACCGCGCTCGCTCCTTCGACTTCTCGGCTCGCCTCCCGCCGATGTTCTTGTCGCCCTTCGACTTTCGGAGGCTCCTCCGGGGGTCCTGGGTCCAGTGCTCCGGCCTCTCCAGAGCGCTTCAAGTGGCCGAAATCGGTAATTCTTCAAAGGTTTTGGAGAGATTTAGCCTTTTCGGCTGTCCGACGTTCCAAGACGGCCCAATAGGCCCCCAAGAGCGCCCAAAGACGGCCCAAGAGGACCCCCAGACGACCCCAGAGGCGCCCAAGACAGTCCAAGAGAGCCCCAAGACGGCCCCAAGATGCACCCAAGAGGGGACCACGAATCCAAAATTCGACCCTCCCGCTTGAAGAGTGCCCCAGGAGGCCCCAAGGAGCCCCCAAGAGGCCCCAGGAGGCCCCCGAGAGGCACCCAGGAGGCCCAAACGAGGCTTCAAAAGGCCACAAAACAGCCCAGAAGAGGCCCCACTACGGCCCCCAAACGGTCACCGAGAAGATGCGAAACTGCGTTCACGACGTTCCCGACAGGCCAACCACGAGATCCAAACCACCACCCATGAGGCCTCTGACCCACCACCTAGGGCACCCGCCGCCCGTTCGCTGTCCGCGTAGCACGCACCACTCTGTACTCAACAGCTTCAGTCTCCAAGACAACACCCTGTAGTCAACAGCCCCCGTCTTCAAGGCAACACCCTGTGCTCAACCAGCTCCCGCTGCAAGAGAGCACCCTTAAGGAATTCATTCAAATCCCGACCCGCCCGCCCGCCCGCCACCCGCCCGCCCGCCGCCCGCCTGGCCGCTCGCCCGCCTTCCGCGTAGCACGCGCCACCCTGCACTCAACAGCCTCCGCTTCCAAGACAACACCTAGCATTCAACAGCCCCCAGCGCTCGCGGGACTGCCCAGGTCCGCTCCCAAACGCGCCACGACACGCCAAGAGGGCCCTAGAGCTTGCCAAGACAGCCTCAAGAGGCCCCGGACACGCCGAAGATGGCCTCAGGACGGCCGACGACGCCGCCAATACGCCCCAAGAGCGCCTCCAGAGGCCCCTCCACAAGGCCCCGCATTTTTGCGCTATCGCATGTTCCGCCTCTCCACGGTCCCGGACGGCGTCAGAGGCCGTTCAGATCGCTCCAAGACGGCAGAAGAGGCTCCCAAGAAAGACCAGAGACGTCCCAGGAGGCTCCCCATATAATTCAACAGGGCTTCGAGAGCGCCCCAAGAGAGCCCCAAGAGCGACCCAAGAGGGCCCGAAGAGCGCGACATTTCAAGGTCTCCAGCCTGAGAGGCTCCCAGGACGCCCCCGGAGGCCATCAAGAGGCTCCCAAGAAGCCCCGTGTGGCTCCCAAGAGGCCCCCCAGAAGCCCCAATGAATTCCCAAGGGGCCCCAGGGAGGCCCCCTGCGGGCCCCCAAGAGACTTCGGTAAATCGTATTTCCCAGAGCTTTCCGGGAACATGATTCCTTGGGCTTCCGTCCACCGCACCAACCATGTTTCCAATAGGCTTGCCGACAAGGCCAAAAAGGGCCCCTCGGTAAGCCCCCAGAGGCCCCCCTGTTAGGAGAGCCGAACAAATCATGTTCCCGGAAAGGTTCCCGGGAACATGATTCTCGGGTTGCCGCCTTCTCCCCAAACCATGTTCCCTAAACGCCCGCCAGGATAAAAACACGAGAGCCCCAAGCAGCGCTACCTGCCGTCATGCTCGGAAACGCGTCAGGTTCCGAAGCCTCCGGAGGCGCCCAACGACACCCCAACAAATCATGTTCCCAGGAAGTCTTACGGTCAGTGCCGCCGACGTTGAAGGAGGACGGTCCAGGACACCCAGAAATCTCCCAAACAGGCTTCCAGGAGGGCGCCGAGACAGCCCAGGGCCGCCCCCACACGGTCCAAGAAAGCCCCAACGCAAACGAAAAGGGCCGCAAGAGGCCCCCAGGAGGCCCCGAAACGAGGACATATCGTTCGAACGCGCCCAAGATGGCCCCCAGACGGCCCACAAGGCTTACAACACGGCCCAAAGGGACGCCAAAATCATTGATTGTCCTTCGATTTTTGATGGATTTCAGACACCCCACGAGGGCGCCGAGACGGCCCACGAGGGCGCCGAGACGGCCCAATGACGGCCCTCGCGCCGGGAGGCCTGGGGGCCTTGCCGTGGCGCTGGGGGCCTTGTAAAGTCGCCAGAAGACGGCCCTGGATTGCCAGAAATGGCGTTTCCAGACAACGAACACGACCAATGACCGCCCGAGATCACCCCAGAATTGGTCCCTGACTGTCCAAGAGGCTTCCAAGACGCCCCAAGAGGTCTCCAAGATGGCTCCCAAGGAGCCCCAGGAGGCACAACTAATTTGTTTTCCTTTGGTTTTTCATCGATTTTCGAGTGCTCGCCTTTTGAGTTTCCTGACGCCCCACGACGGCCCAAGAGGCTTCAATTTCCGCTCCAAGGCATCCCCAGAGGCCTCGAAGACGGTCTCAAGACAGCCCACGGGGGTCCCAAGACGGCGCCAGAGGCGTCCAAGGCGGAGCGAGAGGGCCCCAACACGGCCCCAAGATGGAAGGTTGACACGACCCGAAAATCCGAGTCTTCCATCCCGAGAGGCTCTCAGGAGGCCCCGAGAAGCCCTAACAGGCTCCAAGAGGCCCCAAGAAGCTCCCCCAGGGGGCCGAAGCGTATCCAAGAGGCCTCCCACGAAGGCCCCAAGAGGCACAAATCCATGTCTTGCCGTAGGTGTTTGATTGATATTCGAGTTTTCAGCCTTTTGGCGTCCTGACGCTCCAAGACGGCCCCAAAGGCCTCCAAGACCAATCCAAGATAGCCCACGAGGCCTCCAACAGGGCCCAAGACAGCCCGAGAGGGCACCAATACGGCCCCAGAGGTGGCCCAAGAGGGGTAAGACGAACCGAAAATCCGAGCCTTCCACCCCGAGAGGCTCTCAGGAAGCCCCAGAGGCCCCCAAATGGGACCCAAGAGGCCCTCAAGAAGCTCCCAAGAAGGCCGAAGAGGTTCCAAGAAGCAATGTTTTCCCATCGGCTTTTGATGGATTTTAAAGTTCCCAGCCTTTTGGCTTCCCGACGCTCCAAGACGGCCCAAGAGGCCCCCAAGACCGCAGAGGCCTCCAAGAGGGCCCCAAGACGGCCCACGAGGGCCCCAAGACGGTGCCCGAGGCGCCCAAGACGGCCCGAGAGGGCCCCAAGAGGGCCCCAAGAGAGCCCTAAGAAGGTGAACGCGAACCCAATAGCAGAGCCTTTCGCCCTAAGAGGCCCACAGGAGGCCCCAAGAGTCCCCAAGTGGTTCGACAAGGCCCACCAAAGCCCCCCACCAGGCCACAAAAGGCTCACAGGAGACGTACACGGGGCCAATCCATATTGCTTCAAGGAGGCCCCGGGAGGCTTCCGGATTGCCCCAATGTGGCCTCAAGCCGGGCCTCTACGCAGCCAAGACGGCCAATTGTCTGCTTCAGGCTGCAGAACATCACTTTCCGACTGCCCGGAGAACCCTGACGATGCCCTCAAGGGACCCCAAGAAACCCCAAGATGCCCCCCGAGAAGCACCCAAGATGTGCCTGCAACAGCCAATTGAGGAAGCATGGAGGGCACCCCAGAAGCCCTTCAGATGCCCCCACGAAGACCCAAGAGGTTTCCAAGAGGCCCTCAGGAGGCCCGACAATGTCACGCGCCTGTGCTTGATAGCGCTGTCCAAGATCCTCAAGCGCGCCCCTGGCCTGGGCTAGAACCTGAGCGCGCGCAAAGCGCGCGCGATGGTTCTAGTATATATATATATATATTGCAACACGAGTATTGCACCACATAGCTTGCACCACATAGGTTGTACCACATATGTTGCACCACACAGCTTACACCACATAGCTTGCCCCACGTAACTTTCAACACTCAGTATGCTAGCAACAATTGTTTGGGGTCCACGCTGGCAAACAAGTGTACTCATTTTTTACATATATGATTAGAAACAACCAGACAACCAAGCAACTTCTGGTGGTGGTGGTTGGGGGGTCCATAGCGCTGTCCCGATCGCCCCCAGCCTTCTCCCACTGCGCGGTGGCAGATCAGCTCCGCAGCGCAGCAAAAAGGGTGCTGTGTTGTGTTTGGGGAAGTTGATGGGGAAGAACAGCTATTAAAGCGTTCTGGGACGGGAGCAGCCAAATCGCTCTGCCACCCATATGATCAATTCCGGAAGCCCTGAACCAAAAAATATGGTCATCTCTTGGAATGCCAATTCATACTTCCGCGTGCTTCCACGGGCGGAACCCGCCTCGTTTAATTTCTGTCTCCTTCCGTGGGCCTTCAGCCGAGGAAGAGCTGTCAACTCCCTTAATCCCCAAAGGCGAGGCCCTTTCTGGAGCGCCCCATATTGCGAATATCCTCATGCTCACCACGTCCCCGTCGTCCGTCATGATGACCTCGTCAACATACGCCGCCCAACAAACTTGGATGCCAGAGTGCCGGCGCAGCGCCGCCACTGCCAGCAGCGCAGCCCAGAGTAAGTACAGCAATAGCGGGGCCTTTGCGGGCTGCCCCGTCCTCCTGGCTCTGTGGACTGCCTGTCCCTTCCCACGGGCAAAAGACAAAGGCAAAACGCGATTGCTGGCGGCCAATCACCAACCGCGACCCGAACGGCGATTTGCTTTTCTTGCTATCTTCCCCGTCGAAGTGCCCAATACGGGCGGTTGCTCGCCAGCCCTGTTTGTCTTCTCCCCCTCCTTTTCCTCATGCTGGTGAACACCGTTCTCTTCCTCGTCCTTTTCGTCGTCGTCCCGCCCCTGCGTCAAACGGGCCCCAGGGCCTCATTTAGGACGCGCTCCGACCAGAGTCCCACCAGCTCTTTCGGGCTGAGGTGGTCTACCGCGTTTCCTCTTCCATCCCCCTTCTTTCCCTGTCAACAAGAAAACCGTCGCCCCTCTTGTGGTGCCATCAGGCTGCGCGGACTTGGCTTGCTGCTTCCTGCTCCGCCTCCAGTTTCAATATTCACATGGTAGAATCAAGCTTTCTACTTCCTAATGTGAGCTGTTGAAATCCGCGCGAGGGGGGGACGTCTGATTTACCATGCTCGGAATGCGTTGCCTGAATTCGTGAGGGGCCGTGGGACACGTAAAAATTATCCAAGCGAAGGACCCACCCAGATGCAAATGTGAATACCGCAGGGCAGGTGGGACGAAGCAAGGGGAATTCCCAAAGCGGCCACAAACCGTGTGAGAGATGCGCCGAAATGTGGTGGGGCCGCCATGCAAACCCTGCCACTGGGGCCTTCGGTGTAGCCCCCTATGGGGCCACAAACCGCGTGATGGGGTGCGCCAGAATGAAGCGGGACCGCCATGCGAACCTTGCCACTGAGCGAGTGAGGGGTGCGCCAAACTGGGGCCGGGATGCCATGCCGGCTGCGCCACTGGGACCTTAGTTGGAGCTCCATACAAGGTTATGAAACGTGTGAGGGGTGCGCCAGAATGGGGCGGGGATGCCATGCCGGCTGCGCCACCGGGACCTTAGTTGGAGCTCCCTATGGGGCCACGAAGCGTGCGAGAGGTGCGCCAGAATGGGGCGGGGGTGCCATGCGGGCTGCGCCACTGGGACCCTAGTTGGAGCTCCCTATGGGGCCACGAAGCGTGTGGAGGGTGCGCCAGAATGGGGCGGGGATGCCATGCGGGCTGCGCCGCTAGGGCCTTAGTTGGGGGGGCTCCCTACAGGGCCACGAAACGAGTGAGGGGTGCGCCAAAATGAAGCGGGGATGCCATGTGGGCTGCGCCAGTGGGACCTTGCTTGGAGCTCCCTATGGGGCCACGAAGCGTGTGAGGGGTGCGCCAGAATGGGGCGGGGATGCCATGCGGGCTGCGCCACTGGGACCTTAATTGGGGGGGCTCCTTACAGGGCCACGAAACGTGTGATGGGTGCGCCAGAACGGGGCGGGGATGCCATGCGGGCTGCGCCACTGATAGCTTAGTTGGAGCTCCCTATGGGGCCACGAAGCGTGTGGGGGGTGTTCCAGAATGGGGCGGGGGTGCCATGCGGGCTGCGGCACTAGGGTTTCTTATCTATATATGTGTATATACATATATATAAACTGTGACCAGGCTCGCGCAGCACGAGCTCAGGTTCAAGCAGCCGCAACGCTGGCGGCCGCGGCTGGCGGCAGGCGAAAGCCTAGGGGGGCTGAGCGGCAAAGGGGCGAGCGAGCCAAAAGGGCCGACTCGTCGCCGCCAGGCCAAGCCCCAAACACATCACCGAGCCTGCGCCTTCGGCTGCACCGCCTTTGGCGGCAGCCCGAGCCTGATCCTTTCGACCTTCTCCAGGCGATGCTGCAAACCACGAGCGCTCTCTGGTAGCTTGCATCCTGCGGGCAAGCCCCTGTGCTTGCCTCCGATCACCCTCGCATTGCAATGGCAGCGCGTGCAAATGCGATGTCCAAAGATGGTCGTGAGAACATGCTCGCCGCTCGCCGCTCCATGGGCCCAGTGCCATCGTCAGCGGTCGACGACGCAGCGCCGGGGCCAGAGGGGCAATCGAAGGCCTCCGACCAAGACCGATCGGGTGAGCTCGAGCGGCGAGGCAAAACCACAACATTGCGAGGCAAACAAACTGCTGGCCGCACTGCGAAAATAAGGCAAATCGGCGAGCGCCCACTCGCCGCCGTGGGCCCCCCCCAGGACTTCTGCAACGGGGCATGGAGGAGACCCGAGGGGCCCCGAGGGGAGAAGCGAGGCAGGCCCATCCACGAAGCCCGCGCCGCCAGCCGAACCCAGGTCACACGGGGCCTCAGCAGCGGGCCCCGCGGGAGCGCGCGTGCAAGGTCCGACTGGGGCGTCTGCAGCGGGGCCTACAGGAGCCTCACTAGCACTGGCAACATCTTTCTCAGCCGATGTCGAGCGCACAGACTCGCTCGAGCTCGCTCCAGACGCTGCCGACAACAGGTAGTCGATCTTCTGCTGGGCTGTCTTGAGAGCCTTGGCCTTCGGCAACTCGGTGCTGCCCGTCGCCTGTAGCCTCAGCAACTGCCGCCTGCTGCTTGGCCTGCGCCAATGCGGCGAAGGCCGCCGCCGCCGTGGCCGCTGTCGCCAAGGCTGCTCGAGCAGGTCGCCTCTTCGAAGTACTGCCAGAGTGCGACGGGGCGCGCGGCTTGGGCGCGCAGGGCTTGGCCCTGAAGCGCGTTTTGCTGTTGCTGCTATACGCGATTCATGAGGCAGCGCAAACTGTGAATGCCCCCATTCGGGACCTCGATGACTTCGCGAGCCGTAGAATTTAACTGAATCTTGTTGGCCTGCTTCGTGACCTTCTCGTCCGAGATGTCAGCTTTGCCATCGGCAGCCATGCCGCCAGCGACCGAAACTCAGAAGAACGCGGCGTCGAGCATGGTCTGCCTCGCCTGGATGATCTGCCGAATGGCGTCGGGAGCGCCGACTTGAGCAGCAATGAACTTGGCACGCCGCTTAGTTTCGATGTTGCCTCTGCGCGCTCTGGCCGTGACCTGGCCCTCTTGCGCGTGCTGAACAGAAGCGTGCGCTTTGACCTTGGCAACTGTGAGGCCGCCTGCGCCGAGCCCCCCAAAGTCCTGCGCTGCGTGCCAGACGCGAACCCGCAGCTCCTCCCAAGCTGCCTTACTGCTGGTGGTGGCCACGGGCCCACGAATATTGGTGCCATTCACCGCAAACTCAGCGTCAAAATGAGCTGTCACTGGTGGAATGGTTTTCTCGAGAAGCAGAAGACGTGCCAACGGCTCGCCGCCGTCAATGGACCGCAAAGCACCGGCCAAAGGGGAGGCCAACGCACGCGTGGCAGACCTTGGCCCGCGGTCGATGTGATCGCCGCACGCAATAACGGCACATCCTGCACAGGCGATCCTGGTGCCACCGTCGATGTGGGCTCCATCTGCGAGCAGGTCGGGCTCTGCAAACGGCAAGCCCTCGTCGTGGCCTTTGATCCACTGCGCGCGCCAGGAAGTCGCCACCTGGCGGCCTCCACTCCGTGAGCGGTTCTGGCAGCCGCAACCTCTCTAGCAGAGTCCTGATCGTGATGGAGTCGCCCTTGTCCTTGAAGCGCTCCAACTCCTCTGGAAGGACCAAAGACGGCCGGGCATCTTGACGCTCCATGTGCCTATGCCAAAGCATCCCCAACTTGCCGGGACACAGCGAGCAGACCGAGTAAGGACAGAGGCCTGCCGCACAGCGCCGCTCGTTGAGCCGCTGACCGTCGACCAGGCATGATCTGGCATGCCCAGCTTCACTGGGCGTCAACGTCCTCCAAGCCTTGGCGATCTTGGTGGGGCCTCGGCCCGACGCGACCCACCGCCTGACCTGCGGCAGGAAGACGCCGCCAGCACCGTAGATGTCGTCGTGCGTACTCTTGGCCAGCTGAGCCAACTGCCACCGCTCGACGCCCCGTGTGACAATCTGCTTGACCGTCCAGTGGGAATGTACCGCCAAGTTGAGCTTCTCGCCCGCGTCGGTGACCCAATCAGTAGAGGAGGTGAGTGTGAACCTGATCCATCACTGCTACCCCGAGCGGACCGCGCACGTCGCCCCAGCGCTTGGCGACCTTCGCGTTCCACTTGAAAAATGACTGCACAATGGACGTCGGGACCCACTTCTCCCATGCAGCCTTGGCCAGCATCATGACAGGCCCCGGCGTGGCAGCGAAAATGGGGTCCGCATTCTTGGCCCCCGAAAGCATTAGCACTGCGGTGGCATTCTTGCCTGCTGGCCGTGGCTCCGCGGCCCTGACAGTGATGGAACGCATCCTGGACAACTCGCTGGAGTTGAGGCCAGTGTTGTTGACGCCGCGCATCGCCGAAGGGTGGAGGCCTGTGAACGCAACCTTGGCTGCAGCAGTGCGCCCGCGCCTCAGGCCCAAAAAGCTCTGCGCATTGCCCGGGCGAAACTCGACGTTGGCTAGGCGTTGCTGCCGAAGTGCCCGAACACCACGTCGCCCCCCCTGCGTGATCAATGCCCAGCTTGCGCGCGCGACGCGCCCCTCGGACCCCGGCAATCTTGAGCAGGCGCCTTGATATGTTGCTGCGCAAGCCTGGTGAATTACCCATGCCCTTAGACTTCTTGACAGCGATCTTGAGCTTAACGTTCTTCAGCTGCTGCGCCAATGCACGAGCGGCGCCTGCAAGATCGCCCTCCGCACGCTTGGTGCCGCCCCAGCGCTGGATCACCAGGTCGTCGACCACGATGGCTGGCGTGGCGGCCCCGAACTGCGCGACCATTTCGTCGAGCGGCTGCGACAACATGAGCTTCATGAAGCCCGTGGCGAACGCGTCTCCAGCGAGCGCCGTCTGGGGGACCGGCAACTCCTGCGAGCAGCACCCGTCGACGTGCAGCACCCTCGGCGCACGGCGCAGAGAGATCTGCAGCTTCGCCAGCCAGAACGGGAAACCGAACTTGATGGCTGCCCGCCGCCACTGGGGCCCTGATTGGGGCTCCGTATGAGGGCGCGAAACGTGTGCGGGGTGTGCCGAAACAGACGCATGCGGAGGGCAGAGGCAAGGGGGGGGGGGGAGAGGAGGAGAGGG